GGGGGGGGGGGGTCCGGAGGAGAATCAGCAGAGCCTCACGTGGCAGCTTCCTCAGGGCGGCCGTGACCTTTTCCTTGGGCAATGCAGGGTCAATCGCCCCAGACAGATGTGGAAAGACCTGTGCCGCTGGGGGCGGGGAGGCGTCTTCCACAGGCAAAGAAGACACATGAGAATTGGGGGGCTCAGTGTCCCCAGGCCCCTCAGGGCCTCGCACACATCCCCACCCGAGCTGCGGGAGCCGCTTCTTTCCCACCACCTTCTGCACTACAAGGCTGGGGCTCAACTTTGCTGCAATTTAGCCAATTGAAGGAGGAGGGACTCGGCTGGATTTTCAGCTGTTTCAGTCCAGGTGCTGCACGAGATGAGGCTCTCCTCCAGGGCACTCCGGAAAGCTCGCCTGTCACTTGTGCGGCCCTTGGGATGGGATCTTGAATCACTGAGCTCATCTTTTTCTCTCCCTACTCTGTCCAGCAACATTCCGAGCAGATACCAACGTCATGATGTTCTGTAGGGTTCCCAAAACGTTCCAAAATATCATATACAGGGTCACTTAGCTCCTCGATTCTTACAAGTGGTTGCTTAGAAGAATCCAAGGCAGGCACTTTTCTCATTTCGATGAACAGTTCATGACATACACTAGCTGTGCTCTCTGTACTAACGGAAATAGCCATTAGCGCCATTCAATCAAAACGGATTAGACAGCCAATTCCAGAAACCTTAGAATCAATTAAGAAAAATCATCCTTAAAATTCTATTCCTCATGAACCACTCCGGGTACCAAAATCATGATTAGTGTGGTTGTTCCAGAGAAACAGGAAAAAAAAAATAATTTATTGTACGAATTGATTCACACCATTATGGAGGCTGAAGGTGTCTCATACTCTATCAGCAAGCTGCAGAACCAGGAAAGCCAGTGATATAATTCAATCTGAGTCAGATGCCTGTGATTCGGGGGCCTAGGATGTAAGTCCTGGGCTAAGTTTGAAAGCTGAAGCCGCAGTGCCAATGTCCAGGGTCAGAAGAAAGTGAAGCCTCTGATGACAAGGAGAGAGCAAACGTCCCCTTCCTCCCCCTTTTTGTTTTATTCAGGCCCTCAACTCAAGGACAGTGCCCACTGCACCACACCAGTGACCT